TTGCAAACACATATTTTGTAATTACACTATCATTTTAATTGACTATTTGGAGTAAGGTGTGTGTCAGGGTCCTCAAGATCACCCCCAAATCCAATGATTCCCTAGGAGGAATCACAGGACTCAGCATGCAGCCACATTTATGGTTATGATTTATTACAGTGAAAGAATACAGAACAAAATCAAAGAGAAAAGGCACATGGGATGCTGTCTAGAGGATGTCTGGTAATCTATCCATTCCAATTGTTCTAATATAAACTTGGCTCTCAGTGTTCTGAAATGTGAGGGGTGAGGAGAACAAGGGCAACTGAGGATTTTGATCTCATGAAAATTTTTTTTTGAATTCCCTACTGAAAGGATGGATTGGCTAAAAATGTTTTAATTGGATTTTCTCTCACCCATCTCTGGACCACCAGATTCTAGCAATTTGTACCAACCTCCCCATTCCTCCTCTTCAGCCCTGAGAAGGAAAATGGTATCTCTCTTTTTAGTATGTAGAATTTTGTTTTAATTCCCATTTTCAACTTGGTCTCTGACATCCCCAAGTCCAAGATCTCCTTAGTTCTATTTCTTGAGATGGTAAATCCCCAAGGAAGGAATAGTGAGGTGATCTGACAAGATCCAACTGCCCTTTTTACAGATTTTTCAGCCAATCCAACTTTCAGATCCACTCTCCATGTCCCACCCTCCTTTTCAGAAGTACCTGCAGCCTCCTACTTTTAAGCCTTTTTAGCTGTCTAATGTGAATCAGCTGGCTCTTAATGGTCTTTTTTGCAGACTCATTTTAGCTTTCTCTGACTTGTTCATCTATCTAATTTCATTCTCCAATTTGACTGACAAATCTCATCGGCTGTTGTTTCTTTCCTCCATTCTCTTTGTTCCTGTGGATTTTATTAGTTTGTGTTTTTAATCCTTTACTAACATGTTAGTGAAGCTTAGGGGATAAATGCATGCTCAATCAACATATTTTAACCATCTATCATAAAAATTTCCCATTATATGTAGATTGAGTTTAAATCTACTATCATTTCATTGCTTATTTGTTCCACCTTTACTAGGTTCCTTTTTCTTTCCTCGTCTTATTTCTTTGTCCTCTCTGTGAGTTATATCTTTTTTTTTTTCTCATTGTCTTATTGATCAGTCTAAAAATAACAACAGGTATTCTCTTTTTATCAACTTAACTGTGGTTTAATTTATGTAAAACAAATTACAGTTATCCAGTAGTTCAATGAGTTTCGACAAATGTATATACCTTTGTTTCTCCATACCAGAATCAACTGACAGAATATTTCCATCATCCCGAAAAGTTCCCTTATGCCCCTTAAGTAAGTTTTCTCCTCCACCTCCAGGCAACCACCAATCTGTTTTCTGTCACTATAGATTAGTTTGCATTTTCAGGAATTTCATATAAATGGAATCATAAATTATGTAACAATGGGTATTCTTGACTAATCAAAACCTAATGTTATCCCTAGAACTTTACCCTTTTCCCAGACAATGCAAGGATCTTAAAACACATTAGTCCTGGAATTCTCTAATTATTCTCTAATCTACCCCTTCTTAACTTTAATATGCATGTTGTATTAGTCAGGGTTCTCCAAAGAAACATGTATTATAGATAAAATGTGTGGACTGAGCACATGTAATTATCCCTCAAACTTCATTATATCTATAATGAAGATATTTATTATAGGAATTGATTCATCCAATCATGGAGGCCAAGAAGTCCCACGACCTGTCATCTGCAAACTGGAGGACCAGAAAAGTAGGTGGTATAATTCATTCAGTCCAAATCTAAAGGCCTGGGAAACAGGAGCACCAATGTCCAAGAGTAGGAAAAGATGCATGTCCCTGTTCAAACAGAGAGCAAATTCGACCTTCTTCTACCTTTTTGTTCTATTCAGGCTCTTGATGGATTAAATGGTGCCCATCCACATTGGTGAGGACCACCTTCTTTATCCAATCTACCATGCAAATGCTAATCTCTTTCTGAAACACCCTCACAGACACACCCAGAACTGTTTTACCAGCTATTTGGGTAGCTTCTAGTTCAGTCAAGTTGGCATATAAAATTAACCATCATATACATGGATCACTTAGGGGGGAGGATCTTGTTAAAATGCAGGTTCTGTTTTAGGAGGTGCTATTCTTTTTTTTTTAATCCTCACCTGAGGACTTTTTTTTTTTTTTTTTTTTGCATTTATCTTCAGATAGAGCGGGAGGGACAGAGGGGGCAAGAGAGAGAGAGAAAGATCGATGTGAGAGAGACACATCAACTGGTCACCACCCACACGACCCCAACTGGGGCTGGGTATAAACTTCAACTGAGGTACATATGTGCCCTTAGTGGGAACCAAACCTGGGACTCTCAGGTCTGCGGGCTGATGCTCTAAGCACTGAACCAAACTGTCCAGGACTGGGAGGTGCTATTCTTTTTGTGGTTTTTTTCTCTCTTTAGTCAAATTACTCCAAATAGATGGCTACTTACAGGGTCAGTTCTTTTGCCAAAACATGGAAATAACATATTTTATAGTGTTCTAAATTCAATCATAATTAAGAGTTTAGGATTTAATAGAAGTGCTAATTAAAAGTTAAAATGAAAGTCATCAACTCAGGTTGAACAATTTACACTTGCCACAAACTATTTACAGTGATACCTCGGTTCTCGAACATAATTCGTTCCAGGAGGACGGTCGAGAACCAAATTGTTCGAGAACCGAAGCAATGAAACCAATAGGAAAGCGTGACTCCACGAAGCGTGACTCTCTCTCTGCACTCACACTGATGACGCAAGCAAGGCGCGCTGGGCCGAATGAACGCCATTCGGCTCAACTCGGCTCATTTCGGAAGTTCGAGTTCCAAATATTTGTTCGGATTCCAAGACAAAAGTTTCTCGAATCTTCATTTGGTCGAAAACCGAGGCGTTCGAGAACCGAGGTATCACTGCTTTCAGGCGTGTGGCGTGTTCTAGCTAGAATTCAAGTCCAAAGAGGATAATGCAAGCCATACTAGATGGATACTTTAAATCATGTTGTGTCACAGTCTCTTGCCTGACTAAATCTTAGACCAAGGAACTATGCAAAGCATTTCCCTATTCCAAAAATCATCAGTGACTACAGCCTCTGTGCTCTGATTTTATTTTACTTTTCCAGGCTTTTCTCTCACATCTCCCTTTTCTGGGGGTTAGGGGGTCAAATGGGGTTAGCCACTGTTCCCTGAATCTATCTTAAATAGTGTTACACCTTTCTCTGCTCATGGTGGGTCATCTAGCTCTGGGTTTTTTGTTTCCCCTCAAAACTTTAGCCAACTCCCCTGCATCTGACTCCTCAGATGTTTCTTGCCTTGGAGAATAAGATAATAGTGAAGTATTGACAAAGATACCGTGAGATGCTAACAAAAAAAAATTAATAATAAAATGTGGGGGGAGGTACTTTTTGTATTTATGTTTCCACTTTTAGTTCTAAATGGCAAAACATTCCCCTACTCCAGTTAAGTTAGTTTCTACTTAGAAATGCAGGACTTTAAAACTACCATTTGGAATCAAAGGTCACTAAACTCTGTTTGTTGAACTTAATTATTGTATGGTTTAATGGAAAGGCCAGGGACTAGTGGGTTTAAACTCTTTATAGTAGCTAAAGATTAAAGTGAATTAAATTTAGTGCCTCTGGGATTTTGGATACATGTTTCGAATTTGTTTTTAATAACATAATTGTCCCATGTTACCTTTAAGATTACATCATAGTGAACTGGTTATCTGTGCAGTTACACTAATAGAAAACAATCTCAAATTTCAAAAATAAAAGTGAGGACAACTGTAATGTTACCATTAAAAAATGGAAGTTGGAAATGAAAAACACTTAGATTGAATGTCTTTCTATGAAACCTTTGAATAGAAAAAACTAGGAGTTACATGTATCAGGTTAACTTAATGCATTTTCAATAATATTAAAATCATTATGTTACTTACTGTTACAAGTGGAAACTGATGCATTTTCTCAAGGTATTTATTCATTAATTTTAGTGGGAAAATCTAGCTCCCAATCATACAAATGAAACTGTGTTAAATAAAATTTGAGAAAATACATCAAGAAATAAGTTACTAACCATATGTATTAATGGTTATATTTCGCATTGTAAAAGAAGAAGAAGTAAAATATCCTTGTTTTCACTAGTCTTCAGTGTTTTTTGTTTGTTTTTAACTAAAAGTAATTGTAATATTCTCTTGCCTCTGGGGCTTTTTCCTTCACAATTAGTCCTCTTTTCTTCCTCACCCTCCCTCCAAATGATTATTCCCCTTAGCCCTAGAACACGTGACATTAATTCATACTATTTCATCTTCAGTTTTCAAAACATTGCCCTGCCCTTGCTTAGCTCCACAAGCCCCTCCCTTAAAAAAAAAAAAAAAAAGTTAACAGAAGTATTTTTGCTATCACTTTGCCAGGAGGTGAGACCATGTAATCAGAACAACATCTTTGTAATACAAATTAGTTTCCTTTTATCCAACCTTCAGATTCAAAACACAGTGTATTTACATTCCTTAAGGTGATGAACATCTATACTTCAAAAGGAGTAATACGGTTCAGTTTAAACATTTGGAAGACCTGGGTGCTAAGACTTCATCCTTGGACTCCAGAATCTGTGTCCTTGATCATCAGAACCAAGCAAGTTGTGAAAATTTCACCAAGCTACACCACCGGCGTGGGCAGAGGAAACTTTCAAAATATGTCATTCATCTTCACACTTAAAGGCAGTTTATCTATACATCCTTTATAAACATCCCTAAATATTGGTGCTAAAGACTTCAGTCATAGGAGGTAAGCTTTCTAATTTACAGTTAAAAAGGGGGTGGACAGGAGCCGTCTTCTTAAATTGATCCAAACAAAAGCCAGTCTGAGTACATCTGAAAGCTTAAAGTTGCCATTTGTCAAGCATCTTTTAGAAAGCCGCTTATCGCATTCAGCTAACCGACTCCTAACCCAATGGGGTTTAAGGAGAGCGCGTTTCCCGTCTACAAGTGATCAGCGAGTTACCAGACGTCCACAAGCAGACTGACAAACTTTTGTTGACTCTTTTTACACACAGAGGGGAGACGAGGCACAACGAAGTCAGGTCTGTTTCTACAGGACTTCCCGTGGAGCCAGACGCTCACCTGTACACAACAGGTCTTTCCCGGCTGTCCCCACTGGGGGAGGGGATGGACATCGCTAGATCTTTGTCCTCCCGACCTGGGGGGCAGGACGACGGCGACTTTCTGGGAGGAGTGCAGGCACCTGCACCCCAAGAAACTACAGCCCAGCTTTGACTTAACTGACCGGCTTAACCTTTGGAGGGGCCCTCGAGCTCCGCAAGGGGTTGTTGCCCCAAACCTTAGCCAACACCCGCAGGGGAAGGGAAGGCTGACGACTCTGGAGTGAGGGACCCCGTCTCTCCCAGCGAGACCCGAACATCCCGGCTCTCGGGTTGGGCTCGCCCGCGGCGGGCTGGGCCTGAGTGGCGGGGCCGCGGCGGGCGTAGACCCCGTCTCGGCTCCGCGCCCCCGCCGCGTCCGCACCGCCACCGTGAGGCCGAGCAAGGGACGGTGCCCCGTGGCGGCGGCGGCTCCGCGCTCCTCTCCGCGCCGCCGCCGCGCTCGACGCGGGCGGGGGGTATTTTCCCGTTTCCCCCTCTTTCGCACTCTCGCTCCCCGTGCAGCGGGAGAGCCCGCGGAGCCTGGGAGGGAACGAGGGAAGGGGTGGAGGTGGCGAGGGGAGGCCGGAGGGGCGGATCCTGCCTGGGGGCTGATCCCTCCCTCCCCTCGGCCGGGCTCCGTGGCGGTAGCGGCGGCGGCGGCGGCTCCATTCCCCCTCCTCCCCCGGGAGCGGCGGTGGCGGCCGGGCTGGGGCCCCAGCGCGGGCCGGGAGGGGGCACGCTGTGGCCGCGGAGGCCAGCGCGGGAGGAGGCCGCGCTCCGCTTCCCGGGCCGCGCCGACCTGCTCGACGGCCGGCCAGCCCGCGCCCAGGGTACCCCGAACGTTGGGGTCGGGCCGGCGGCTGAGGTAATGGGGGCGGCAGCGGGGCCGGACAGAGCGGGGCAGGGGCAGCGGGGCCTACGGGGACCAGGGACTGCGCGGGTGGGGGCGGGAAGGGGGGGTCTTTCCGAGAGGGGCGCGGGGGTTTGAAAGCCCTCTCCCAGAGCGAGGGCGGCGGCGGGGAAAAGGAAGGCGGGTGTGGGGGGAGCAGAGAAGCGAGGACCCCCCTCCCACAGCCGCCATCTTGTTTTCCCCCCGGCACTGGAAGCCGAGCCGCCGAGCCCCGCCCCCGCCACGCTCTCCAATTGGTCAGGCCTGCGGAGAGTTCCACCCCCTGAGTGTCCCTGGGCCCTCCGGTTTCTCCTAACCGGCAGCTGAGGCGGCCAATGGGCGCTCGCCTCTCTGACCCACTGGTTCGCTGGTGCTAGCTTTCTGTCCGAGGGTCGGACTTCGCGTCAGTCCGTCTGGCGCGCTCGCCCCCTCCCCTCTGGGGAAGAGATATTATTTCCCTCCTTTCTCCTCTGAAGGGTCAAGATTCTTCTGGAAATGGTGCCCTTTTAAAGGGGCAGGAGCCTTGGCTGCGGTCCTCGTCTCATGAGTATCTCGTGTGGGGCGCAGGGGTACAGTCTAATTGCAGAAACTCCTCATTCTTTGGGACCTGGGTGACGTGGGCCAGTCGGGTTTCGGGGGATTCCGAGAAGACCTCTGGGGGTGGGGGTTAAGAGACATTTGGAGGTGTGTGTGTGGGAAGGGTTGTGTGGGATGAGAAACTCCCGCCAAAAAACTAGACTGTAAGCTTCTTGTGGGCGAAACTCATTTCATTTTCCTCAGGCGCAGCCCTTTCCCCGCTAGAGCTTGCCCCTCCCCCCCCGCCCCCCGCCCCCGAGTCTAGAGGCTGGGGTGGGACGGAAGAGAGGACTCCCCAGATACTTGCTTTTCGGTGGGGAGATACCTGAGCCTGCGGGGGAGGTAGCAGGGAGGGAGGGAGGGAGGATAGAGTTGCATCAAGGGGCCCCAGCCTTTGGAAACTAGCATTTCAAGCTGGTATCGAGGTAGATTTTCACACCTGTGTAAGGGCTCCCATGCCCTTGAGGGGGAGGAGGCAGTAACGCAGGATATTGGCCCAGGCTCCCCCCGGGGAGTTGGCGTTTATGAGGCGTGTGGTGGCCAAGGGCCTCTGGAACCCGGACAGAATTGCTGTGATGATTGTTTCCTTTGGCTCCAAATAGGATGTGTGCCTGCTTGGCACTGTTCCTCAGCCACGTTGTTTTTTATTGTTTCAGTCACACTTTGGGGTTGAAAGGCCTTTTAAATGAGGATCTTAATAATACCATACCAACAAATAGCAACCATTAAGCGGTAGATTTTATTGATTTCGTTTTACTGATGGAGTCTAGAGGCACTGAGAGATGAAGTGACTTTCTTCAGGTCATTCAGGGCCAAGATCAGAACCTAGATTGCCCCAGAGCCTCTTTTTTTACCAGACCAGGGCATCTCGTGGTGTTCTTACATCCCAATAAGTAAGATAAGTTGAGTAGGTCAAAGATCTGGGTTTGAATTGTAGCTTTATCACTTGGGTTGAGTGACACCTTTCTGAGCTTTTGTTTATTCATCTGTAAAATGGAGGTATCTATTCTGCCTCCCAAACATTTGTGGGAAATATTAAAAGTAAAAGGGCTTTGTAGTTTGGTAAAGTATGCTAATCATCACCGCCACTATCTGTGCTTTATCCTTCAACCAAGGTGACAAACTGTTTTTCTCCTTGAAATGCTCTCCCTTGTTCATATCCTTTCAAGTCTGTACCCACACCTCAGGGCAACGTATTCCCAAAGATCCTTCCTGGTAGTGATGGCCTCAGTAATTGCTTACCACAGGTCTTTTGAGCTTGTCATAGTTCTCTCCATCCAGAGAATGATGTAGAAAACTTCAGGGCTTTCTCTTTGCTGCACAAAGGTAGACTAGATGTGAATGTTTTGGGAGACTGGGACTTTTGAAACAGAATGCATTGAGAGTTTACCTCAGATTTTGCTCCAGTCACCTTGGCCTTGGGTCTAATGAGGGTCCCACATAGGTCAGCTTACAACTTCAGTGCCACTTGGGGCCACTTCCAGAGTTTCTGCTTAGAGATGTACGAGCCAGTGCATCCTGAATGCTGCCTTTTGCAGATAAAACCCTGAATACTGTAGTTTGAAATCCTTACTGCATTTCATGTGCCTTCACCCTTTCATCCCTGGGCATGATCAGGGTGATCAGGCTTTTTTTTGTTTTTTTGTTTTTGTTTTTTGAGAGTATGTGCCCTTAGCAGGAATCGAACCTGGGTCTCTCTGGTTTGTGGGCCAACACTTGAACTGCTGAGCCAAACTGGCCAGGGCTGGATAGGGTTTTGATCACAGTAAGATGACTTGGGAGAGGGCTCTAGACCTGTGAATATTTTGATCCTTTGATGGGACCTCTGTGCATGTCCAGAGCTTATAAATGGATGCTGTTCTTGCTTTCTTCTTTTCTAAAGCCATAACCACCCCTCCTTTTCCATAGTTTGCTGTCCCACAGCCTTATGTTGCATTGTAATAATGTTTACTTTTCTGTCCCTTTGAGCACAGCTTCTAGAGGGCAGGGATTATGCATGTTTGATTTCTCCTTTCATTCAACTAATACTGAGTGCTTATTAGGAGCCAGGCACCATTCTAGGTGTTAGATATAGTGAACAAGACAGGCAAAAATCCCTCCCTTCATGGAGCTTACATTCTAGCAGAAGGAAGCAAACATACATGATAAAGAGGTAAATTCCATGGCACAGTTAAAAGATGATGAGTGTTACAGTGAAAAATAAAGGAGGCTGAAGAGTGCGGTAGGGGAAGGGATTTGCTATTTTATTTATTTTAATTTAATTTAATTTTTCTTTATTGATTTTTAGAGAGAGAGGAAGGGAGAGGGAGAGAGAGATAGAAACATCAATAAGAGAACATCAACTGGCTGCCTCCTGCATTCCCTCCACGGGGGATTTGGTCCACAACTGGGGCATGTGCTCTGACCAAGAATCAAACCAGCGACCTCTTGGTACATGGGTCAGTGCTCAACCACTGAGCTACACTGCCCGGGCAGGAATTTGTTATTTTAGATAGAGTTGTCAGGAAAGGTCTCACTGAGAAGTGATGTTTGTGGCAAGACTTGAAGGAGGTGAAGGAGCAAGCCATGGGGATATCTGAGGGGCAGAATGTTTAGATGGGGAATATTCAGTCCTTTTTCTTGGTGGCTGCTTGATCAGATGGTGAATAAGTGCATCCACCTCATGGTATCTTGGCCTTCTCTCTTTAGGCCTGTCCCCTAGTTTCCCAGGTGCCATGAGGAAGCCTCGCCAGAAGTCACGGCAGAATGCCGAGGGCCGGCGTTCTCCATCCCCCTACAGTCTCAAGTGCTCACCTACCCGGGAGACCTTGACATATGCCCAGGCCCAACGGATTGTTGAGGTGGACATTGATGGACGCCTGCATCGCATCAGCATCTATGACCCACTCAAGATCATCACGGAGGATGAGCTGACCGCCCAGGATATCACTGAATGTAATAGTAACAAGGAAAACAGTGAGCAGCCCCAGTTTCCTGGCAAGTCCAAGAAACCCTCATCCAAGGGCAAGAAGAAGGAGTCCTGTTCCAAGCATGCATCTGGCACTTCCTTCCACCTCCCACAGCCCAGCTTCCGCTTGGTGGACTCAGGCAGTCAGCCAGAAGCACCTCCATTGCCTGCTGCCTACTACCGCTACATTGAGAAACCACCTGAAGACCTGGATGCAGAGGTAGAGTACGACATGGATGAGGAGGACCTTGCCTGGCTAGACATGGTGAATGAGAAGCGGCGAGATGATGGGCACAGTTTGGTGTCAGCAGACATCTTTGAGCTGCTGGTAGACCGGCTTGAGAAGGAGTCATACTTGGAGAGTCGTAGCAGTGGGGCCCAACAGTCACTCATTGATGAAGACGCCTTCTGCTGTGTGTGCCTGGATGATGAATGCCATAATAGCAATGTCATTCTCTTCTGTGACATCTGCAACCTGGCTGTACACCAGGAGTGCTACGGAGTCCCCTACATCCCTGAGGGTCAGTGGCTATGCCGCTGCTGCTTGCAGTCTCCCTCCCGGCCTGTGGATTGCGTCCTCTGCCCCAATAAAGGTGGCGCCTTCAAACAGACCAGTGATGGGCACTGGGCTCACGTGGTGTGTGCCATCTGGATCCCCGAAGTCTGCTTTGCTAACACCGTGTTCCTGGAGCCCATTGAGGGCATTGACAACATCCCACCTGCCCGCTGGAAACTGACCTGCTATATCTGTAAGCAGAAGGGGCTGGGTGCAGCCATCCAGTGCCATAAGGTGAACTGCTACACAGCCTTTCATGTGACATGTGCACAGCGGGCTGGGCTCTTCATGAAGATTGAGCCCATGCGTGAGACCAGTCTCAATGGTACCATCTTCACAGTGCGCAAAACCGCCTACTGTGAGGCCCACTCACCGCCAGGTGCTGCCACTGCTCGAAGGAAGGGTGACTCCCCTGGAAGCCTAAGTGAGGCTGGGGATGAGGAAGGGCTAAAGGAAGGCTGTGGGGAGGAGGAAGAGAAGGAAGAGGTGGAAGAGGAGGAAGAAGATGAAGGCAAAGGTGGAGTAAGTGGCCCCCTCAAGGGAGTGCCCAAGAAGAACAAGATTACTTTGAAGCAAAAGATCAAGAGGGAGCCAGAGGAAGTGGGTCGAGACACGCCCTCCACTGTCCCCTTAGTCACCATCCCACAGATACCCTCTTACAGGTAAGCCTGCCCAGGAAGGCGCCCTAGAGACTCATGGTTTCTTCTTGGGCTCATGTTGGCCCTGGGCCAGCCCTTCTTCCCCTTGCACTGTTGGCGAACGTCTGTTCTCTTCCGTGCCCTCAAATTTCTCCTTTGGGCCCTGGGTTTGCCTATTCTGGTTTGTGGTTTTGATTGTGTTCTCAGAACAATATATTTCCTTTGGTTCAAGGTGAGACAAACACTTAAGTTGCTTAGAAGCTCAGGCGACAGGATGTCTAAGGCAGTATTTTTCAGTAGGGTCACAAGTGGCATTTTGGAAAGGATAATTCATTATTAGGACTGTCCCATGTGTTTCTAGATGTTTAGTGTCTGTAGTCTTTGTAAATGCCAGTTGAATCCCCTCCTTCATTGCCTGGTCTTTGTCACAACTTCAAACCCTCCCCACGTTTCCACAGACTCCTACAGTGATACAACTAATTCCAGTTGAGGGGGTCAGTGTGGGTTTCTGCTGTCCAGAAATCTTGGTCCTGGGTATAATGGGGATTTTCTGGGAGGGGGTGGTGGTAGGGGGAGTATGTACTATTTCTCCTCTTGAGAAACTTTTAGATTTAGGATCACTCAGTTCATCTGTGTAACTAAGCCCACTAAATGTGTGAAGAGACCAGTGTACAGTGTACCTGTTAAGCTATCAGAGAGGTCACTGGAGCTGTTGGAGGGATGGGAGGTTGGCAGAGAACAAGAGACAGGAGATTTTCCAGTGGAGGCTCATCTCAAGGGTGATATTCATGAATAAGTATACAGTGTTAGAGCAGGAAGGAATCTTGGAGAGTATTCATCTAATGTAGTCCTTGCACCTTCTCCCACACCCCCAGATGAAGAAACCGCGGCCACAGGAGGTAAAGTTGTTCACTCCTTTATTCATTCAATGAGATATTTATTGAGCACTTACTATATGCCAAGTCCTGTTCTAAGGGCTGGAACCAGGTGGAAAGTGGCAGACTCTGGACCACAGCTGGGGCTCATGACGCCTGTAGGTTCTGTACCTGCTCTTTCTCACTTGATGAGAAGAATAGGGAGAAAAGAGTTTTGGAGGGTAGTTGGGAAAGTTCTCTGAAGGAAACAGGCAACCAGACTTGTCAGTTGGGAAGAAGACAAGAGCGCAGAGCTCAGGAGGGAGAGTCTTGTGTTGTAAACCATGGCTTGAGTTAGAATTCATTCAACTGGAAATGTATCTTCTAGTTACAGAACTGTTCCAGGCTACCCTCTTCCCTGGGATGAGTGGGTGAATGCATAGGGTGGTTATGTCCTGGGGCTAGACTTTTTGTCATGTCTGCTCTTACAGATTAGATGTCTTTTGCAGGCTGGCTAAGAACCAGACAGACCTACATTTGAATCCTGTTTCTGTCACTACTTGTGTGACCTATGGCAAATTACTTAACTTCTTTAAGCCCTAGTGTATTTATTTGTAAGTGAACCTACTTCATAGAGTTGTGAGAAATAAGATAAACCAAGTAAAGCACTTAGCACAGTGCCTGGCAAATAGTAAGCTCTCAATAAATGGTGGCTGCTGCTGCTGCTGTTTTATTGTTATTATTCTTTTTCCTATCTGCACAAATGCTATTGGGACCCTCCATGGCCAAGAGGTTGTAGAGGGAGGGGGCTGCCTGCATCTGGGCAGGTGTGCTTGGCATGGGCGTTGGTGGGGGACCTGTCCTTTGGGAAAAGGCCTAGGCCCTGATTTTGTAAGCTTGGCTTTGGGGCAAGAATGTCTGACTGTGGAAAGGCGCAAGGCCCAGGTGAGTGATGTCTAGTCCAAGATGCCCATCCTTCTTAGATTCTGCCTTCTTGTTTAGCTACGCTTATCTTCCTTTCAGTGGAGTGAGATGAAGAGAAAAGCAGTGGAAACACCACAGGAGCACTGAGGCCTTGCTTACCCGGTGGATAACCAATTATGGAACACAGCATGGTATAGCCAAGAGATTGTGAATTCAGATCTCACCCCAGCTCCATCATCTTATTAGCTGCATTAGTGACGCTGACAATTTATTCAGCCTCTGTCCCTAAGCTGCTTTTCCATCTTTTGTAGCATGGGAATATGTTACCCACCTTTCATTATGGGCATTAGGATAGAGATTGTAGGCTCTCATTAATTCCCTTCCTACCCCTTTCCCTTCCCTCCACGTTACTAGTTTAGACCCTGACCTTAAGACTTCTCTTTCGGGGTAGTTTAGCCAGCTAAGTTTTCAGTTTATCCATTCTCTTATACCTTTAGATCCACATAAATATATATATTTTGATTCAAATTTTGAAATTTTTAGGCTGCTGAGGTTTTTAATGAAAAAACCAGAGGCCAGACAACTCCAAGGGTTACACTTGGGCTCAGAAAGGAGTAGACTGCTGTACTACTAGTTTTTCTTCCAGCTTGGCCGTAGACTACTCCCTGGTCTGGTGGGACCCTTAGCCACAGGAAATAGTGATCACATTGCCCATAGCTTGCTCAAGTTCCTGTTCTCTTTTGCTGCCTTTATCAAGAGAAGTCTGGGGTAATTGGGGCGCAGGCCTGTTTCTCAGGAGTCTAGGACTACAGGAAACAGGGTTTCTGGAAGTGGGTTATTTTGGAGGTTCAGTACTGCAATGCAGGAGGTGGAAAGTCAAGTGAATCTGAGCTGCTTAACTTTGCTGTCCTTTTCAAGCCTTTCTCTGAGGTGAGCCATTTGGCCACTTTATTCTGTCTTCCTTTATAAGGTTCATAAATGAACCAGGATCTGGAGAAGAGGCTATAACTTGGGCTGCCCACTGACCCTGTCTTTCACTTCCCTGTGCCTCTACTCAAGGTTGAACAAGATCTGTAGTGGTCTCTCCTTTCAGAGGAAAAACCAGTTCATGCAGCGGCTTCACAACTATTGGCTGTTGAAGCGGCAGGCACGGAACGGTGTCCCCCTCATTCGGCGCCTGCATTCCCACCTGCAGTCTCAAAGAAACGCTGAGCAGGTAGGTGACACGGTAATTTGGAGGTGGAGGGGTGAAAGAGGAGGAGAGTGAAGGAGAATGAGTGATGGTTGGGGCTCCCCCTCCCCCCAGCCCTCTGTGGAGCCTTTGCCTATATGTGATCACCCCTCCAGGAGGTCTATCCCAGGAATGACCTCCAGCACTATAGAGCTCTTCAGACAAGACAGCAGCTTTTTCTGGATGGGAGAGGCTTGACCTTGTAGCAGATTCTTGGCGTAGTGGAGAGCAAGCCCAACTCTGTATGTGTGGAGAAAACCCTTTAGGTGTGGAAGAAAGGAAGAAGTGAGATGAATGAGAGCCAGGTAGCCTCATTACATGAATTAGGAAAAGGTGTACTTTCTTCAAGACACTGTACTGCCATCTGCCAAAAAATGTTTCATAGAAAATATACAGATTTACCACCTAAGTTGTAATGTGTAGCCTGCCCAATTGTCCTGACCTGTTAGCCACTAGCAACTGGAGTTGCTGCATGTTTAATGTTTTCTGTGAGGATGGAGGCTCCTGAGAGACCTGTAACATCTTTAGTTCTCTCTCCCTCTTCACTTGCTCCATTACTTCCGCCTTTAAATATTCCCATGCTGCTACTCTAGAGACGAAGCAAGGCTTCACGTGACTGTGGTGCCCTCTGTGTTCTGTCTGACTGCACTTTTGCCTTTTGTAGAGTACTGAGGTGCACGTCTATGTCTGGTCCCTCTTCAAAGTGGTCCACGTGCACCCCTGAAGCCTCCGTTGGAACATCAGTGACTTCCTCCCAGCCTGGCAAATCTTTTCTCAGATTCTCATTTTTTTGACTGTTGGGCTGTATTTGACACCATGATCACCTTAGAACTTCTCTCTGGGACACCGTTTCCCACCTTCTCCGCCCCACAGTCTACCTTGTGCCCATCCCACTTCTTACTCCTTAATGGTAATATTCCCAGGGGCTCAGCTGCCTGCCTGTCTGCTTGGAGAACTTGTCCACCTGTATAGCTGTAAATAACTGTGACAGTCACTCCAGGTTTCTTGTCTTGTCCTCATCCTTATTTTCTGCCCTCAGTCTCTCGGGCACAGGAACTGTAGATGAGCATGTAGATGTTATTTCCTGTTACTCAGGTATTGGAAACTGAATTCATTATCTTTCTTCCTCTCAGTAAACATATTTCCCCATTATCGTCATGAAACCATCCTCCTGACCTCAGATGTTCCCAACCTTACAGTTACTCTTGACTCGTCCCTCCATAACAAGCCACAGTTAATCATCCTAAGCTCTTTGGGGAGATTTATCAGTATATGGCCCTTTGTCTCTATTCTCTAGCTATACTGCTCACCCATGTCCCCTTAATTTTAGCAATAGCTTTCTAGGTGGTCACCAGCCTCTATCTCTCTCTTTGCTCTACAGCTGGTAATGACTTACACACAATTTTCTGTCCTGTCACTTTTCCAGAATATATTCCCTTTCTCTAGGCAGGCCAGGTCCAGGCTCCAGGCTCTTTGGCCTGGCATTTGAGACTTCCTGTCAGCTGGATCCTGGGTCTTCCTTGGCTTTTGTGGTTTTCTAGCTTCTGTCCTCTAAGCAGCTTATTTTTCTCACCAAGCAAAGAATCACTAATTCTACCTCCGTACTTTTGCTGTGGTCCCTTCAGTTCCAGAAGAGGCCTCCCTTGCTGCTTTATTTACCTATGTCCATCACTATGTGTCAAAACCTAGTAATGTTCTTCCCCCAGGAAGCCTTCCCTGACCTAACCCCAACTCACTTAAATAGTCTCTATTGTATATCCTCTCAGTATTTTATATTCATTCTGTCTGATCAGTTTTTGTTTTCTTTTTGCTACTGTGCCCTGCCCTTCTGTGTCAAGCCCGAGCTTCTTCCTTCCCCCGAGTGCACTGTAACCTCTTCTAGGGCTAGAATCCTGTATTTGATGGTGGTGGTGGTGTTTAAAAGTCAGTTAATTCAATCTTATAATAAGAACACTTTATTTTCTAACCCAAAGTCGAACTCCAGGGTGAAATTCTTTCCACCCTGAGGTGTCTGTTAGTTCCTTCTAAAATTTTTTCCAGCCTTGAGCGGCACAGGTACTCTCTGGTGTCCCCAAAGGTAAGGGAAGCAGTCCCAGATCTCATCCCATCAATTATTGTATGGCAGTGAAGAAACATTGTTATAGAGTCAGGGAAGCCCAGGAGGGAAAAATGGAGTAGAGAGGGCTGGAAGGGCTTTTGGGGACTGTGGGTCAAGGAAGGGATTGGGACTCTTACTTGCCAAGGCCCTGTGAGGCTTGAACAGGGAGAGGACTTTGGGCAGGGAGGAGGCCTTAGCTCCTTCCTTTTCCTTTCTTCCTGCAGCGAGAGCAGGACGAGAAAACAAGTGCAGTGAAGGAAGAGCTGAAATACTGGCAGAAGCTCCGGCATGACTTGGAGCGGGCCCGGCTGCTGATCGAGTTGATTCGGAAAAGGGAGAAGCTCAAGCGGGAGCAGGTGAGGAGCTCGGAGTCCCGTGGCTCTTGTTCAAGAACTTTTTCTCCACTGTCAATGTATTTTCAGGAGACCTGGAGCGCCTGCCTGGTGTAAATTTTCTCCCCTTCTTGCCCAGCACTGTGGGCTCCAAGGCCTACCTACTCTGTTATGGCTTCTCTGGAGGTTCACCTTCTGGTGGCCTCAAGCATACATTCAGTATCATATGCCTGGGCCCATCTGTGGAGTTTCTGACTCAGACTTTCAGCGGGAGCCTGGCCTTGAGTATTTTAAAAAGCTTCTCGGGCCATTCTGATTGGCATTATCTCTGGCCTGGGAGCTTCTGAGGGTCCTCACTAGGCCCTTAAACACTTACGGTCTTGGGTCATTTAAATTTTTCAACCTATATTCAAGGATAATATAAGCCTCTGAGTCGGGGTGGTGGGGGGTATGTTGAGATAGGTAGTGTAGCATACCGGTTAGGAATGTGAACTATGGCACCAGACTGGGTTTAAATCCTGGCTGTGCCACTTACTAATATGACATTAAGTTGCTTAATTTCCTTACACCTCAGTTTCCTCAACTATGAAATGGAAATGATAATAGAACCTACCTCATAAGGTTGTGAGGATTAGATGACTTGTTTATGTAAAGAGCTTAGAACAGTGGCTGGCATAGAGTAGGGGCTACAGTGTCAGCTGCTATCATCATCATTTTTGACACTCTTTGCCTCCCCAAAGTATCTACTGCAGTGCTTTACACATGGCAGAGAGCAAATACTAGTAATTGAATGAATGATGAGCCAGAACTTCTCTCTGGTCCAGGAATAGCAGCTGTTACTCAACATGTTTCAGAGCTCTGGGTTAAAGATGTTCCTTTCTCTCTTCAAACTCCCACTTCTCTGTTGAGTCCCAGCACGTCTCTGAGACTGGGCAGTTCTTGCCCTATTTAGCTTGGATGGCCCTGGAGGACATCTCAGGACCTTTTCTTGGATTTAGATTCTGCTCTCCCAGACCTGGTTCCGCAGCTGAGCATTTCTTCCTGCCTCTGGTTTGCAGAAATGAAAAGGAAAAGGAAGCAGGCAGGCCTGTTTTGATGTAGCCAAGAAGAAGGATTTTTCATAGTCCAATCCATGGCTTCCCAACCTTTTCACATTAGGGCACACATAGAAAATAACATTTTACAGCCTACTACTATAAATATGTGAGGCTGCCTGAGGGGGTGAGCCTGGAGGCCCCAGACAGCCCACGCCAACCCCGATGTTCCAAAGGCCAGTGGGATCAATAGCTCAGCACATTAGGTAGGAATTCTGGCCCAAGGCACATTTTATATCATCACTGTGCTCCTTGGACTAAGTCAGACCCAGGTTCAGGTCTTGTCTGTTCTTTTCTAGCCAAGTGACCATGGGTTAGTGATGACTCATCTTTCTTCCCAAACCTCAGATTTCATATTTGTAAAATGGGGATAATAAGTTTCTCCTTCAGGGTCATTGGAATGATTAACTGAGATGAGATAAATAGAGAGGCAATGTGGCATAGCCATTAAGAGCACACACTGCAGAACTAGGCTGTCTGCCCCATATTAGCTGTGTGACCTGGGGCCATTCAGTTGCTTAGTTTCTCTGTGTCTCATTTTCCTCTTTGTAAAATATCTCATCTGAACCTACCTCATGTACTCACTTATATTACATACAATGCTTAGAATGTTACTTGGCACTTAGACTGTAAAAGTATTCGTTATTATTATAGTTGACTCTTAAATAATCTGGGCATTAGAGATTCTGATCCCTGGCGTAGTTTAACTTTTAATTTCCCAAAAACTTAACTTCTAATAGCTTATTGTTTATGTATTGCTAACATAAACAGTTGATTAACACATATTTTGTATGTTGTATGTCTTATATACTGTATTCTTATAATAAAGTAAGCTGGATAAAAGAAAATATTAAAATTAAAATAATAAGGAAGAGAACATATATTTGCAATATTTATTGAAAATAAATCCATGTATAAATGGACCCGCTCAGTTCAAACCTGTGTTATTCAAAGATTAACTATAATTATTATTTAAGTTTTAGTATGGTGCTTGATACATAGGAAGCATCCACATAGTAGTAGTTCTTGGTATTTTTTTTTCTTCTAGGCTTTGGTTTAGGCAATAGCTTCTTATAAACTGGTCAGCTTAATAGCCTGTGAAAATTTGTTATACATGATTAGGGAAAGTCAAGTTATCAAGAAAAAGTTCAGTGCCTCTTCTGGGGTGGGGGATGTCCTGATTTCTCCCCACCTTCCCACAGATCAAGGTCCAGCAGGCTGCCATGGAGCTGGAGCTGATGCCATTCAACGTTCTGCTGAGGACAACACTGGACTTGCTGCAGGAGAAGGATCCCGCGCACATCTTTGCCGAACCTGTCAACCTGAGTGAGGCAAGTTCCCCCCACCCCACTTCGTGAACACTGAGCCCCTCCAGAAGAGGAAACAGCCTTGAGTACAAGGCCAGTAGGGGGTTGGGTGATAGAGTGTACAAAACTTGGGGGTGTCTGGCAAGGCTAGTAGACTTGCCATTGGTAAGAGGTCAGCAGGCCAGGGTAGGCCAGGGCCCTGGGGCTCTGAGTGAGCCCAGAATGGCCAAACCAGAAAATGGGGAGGTGAGAGTGCCGGTGAAGGGTGCGTCTGTTTGGCTAGTAAATGGTTGTTGTAATTGTACAGGTTTTATATGTTTAGGTTCCAGATTACCTGGAATTCATATCCAAGCCAATGGATTTTTCTACTATGAGGCGGAAGCTGGAGTCCCATCTGTACCGCACCTTGGAGGAGTTTGAGGAGGACTTTAACCTTATAGTTACCAACTGCATGAAGTATAATGCTAAAGACACAATTTTCCACCGAGCAGCTGTCCGCCTGCGGGACCTGGGAGGGGCCATTCTTCGGCATGCCCGGCGGCAGGCAGAGAACATCGGCTATGACCCCGAGAGGGGCACCCACCTGCCCGAGTCACCCAAATTGGAGGACTTTTACCGCTTCTCCTGGGAAGATGGTGAGAAGCTGGGTTGGGTTGGGAAGAGAGGGCCTAGTAGGAGGCACAGGGACAGAGCCCAGGGAGCCAATGATCAGAGTAGGCCTTGGGGCTATAGGGTAGTCTTCAGGAGCAAAGCAGGGGGTAGGCATAGGTTGGAATATATCTGCTTGTGGCTGGAATAATTCCAAGGATTAAAGTTTAACTAATTCACTGAGTACTTCCTGAAAGGTAGGAAAGGGGAATCAGGTACTAGTTGTCTATTTGAAAAGCTAAAGCCTCACTGGGGTCTTCTCCTCCTGGACCCCTCTGTGGCGTTGGAGCACGGGGTAGTGAAGTACAAGGCTGCTGTATGTCTGGCTCATTCAGAGAGTGCAGGGAGAGGCACAGAAAACGGAATTGCCTTTGAGCCCCGTGCCCAGCCTACCCCTGCTCTCTGCCTCGCAATGGCAGCAGCCAAGCAGTCACTCAGGCTGGGGGATTGCCAAGCTGCCTCGTGCCTGCTCCATGGAGCCCATAATCGTGCCTGTGGACTGCTCCCTGCAGATGTTCCCTAGATTCTGACCTTGTCCCTGTGGCTGCCCTACAGGCAGCAGTGGTGCCAGGGCCACAGCCCCACAATGATGTTGCTGGAAGCCACTGGCCCAGGCCATATTTTTGAATCCGAAGGATTCAGCCCTTTCCCCTTGCCCTGGGCTGGACAGTTCTTTCAGCCCCTTCTTTCCTCCCTTCTCCCTGGCAGTGGACAACATCCTCATCCCAGAGAACCGGGCCCATTTGTCCCCAGAGGTGCAGCTGAAGGAGCTGCTGGAGAAACTGGACCTGGTGAGTGCCATGCGGTCCAGTGGGGCCCGGACCCGCCGCGTCCGCATGCTGCGCCGGGAGATCAATGCTCTTCGGCAGAAGCTGGCACAGCCACCGCCACCACAGCCACCCTCACTGAACAAGACTGTGTCTAATTTGGAGCTGCCAGCAGGGCCCCAGGGAGATGCAGCTGAGCTGGAGCAGGCCCTGCAGGAGGAGGACCCAGAAGATGATGGGGACAGAGGTGAGAGACAGTCATAGGCAAGCAGAATGCTGGGGGGGCAGCATAAGGGACTAGGGTTAAGGTGAAATCTGAGTAAAAGCATCCTTCCTTGAGTTTAGGTCTGATCTTTGTGGGCAAGTGGAAACCTTCGGAGGGGTCACACTTCCACGTGTACCCAGAGATGATATTCAAAATATTGAACAATCAGTAGAAATCAAAGTTTATCAGAGTAGATGTTGACTGTTGTATTGGAGTGGGTTCCTGGTGTGACTGTTTTTTAAAAATAAGTTTTTATTGATTTTTTAGAGAGGAAGGAAGAGAGAGAAACATTGATGTGAGAGAGAAACATCGATTGGCAACCTCCTACATGCCCCCCACTGGGGATTGAGCCCAAAACTCTGGCATTTGCCCCAACTGGGAATTGAACCAGGATCTCTCAGTCCATGGGACAACACTCAGTCCACTGAGCCACACCAACCAGACCTGATATGGATATTTAGTTGCTGGATTGTGGACGGGTTCAAGAAATTCCAGAGGCTGGGGCCCAGGTAGCTGTTGTTGACCGGTAAAGAAGTATTTCAGTATTTTGTACCTGATATGGTCATAATGCATATATGTTAGCTCACCTTCTACCATCATGTAGAGAGGCTCTTAGAGCCCCTCAGGTTATAGTGTGGGGAGATAGAAAAGAAAGACCCTAAAGATAGTCTGAGCTCTCAAGCTGCCTCATGGCTTTGACCATAACTGGCTAAGTCTATAGGCCCATCCCAAACAGAAAGGCCAGATTGCAAAGACAGCTGGGGAAGTGATTCTCAGAGACTCAGTCTTGAAACCTAAGCTGCTTTCCATTCTCCAACTTCACTGGGAACAGAGTTATCTTTCTCCTACCTGTCCTTGGATCTCAGCCTATGGCTTGGGAGGGCCTGTCATCCACACAGTTCAAAAGGTTGGGAATTATTTCTGGAGGGAAGGGGGCAAAATTACAGGGAATGGCTCACTTTATTTTAGGTTGGCAGAGACTGGGGACATGGCTGAGAGGTCACATTTGGCTTTAGAGGGCTTTGTGTCCATTGTGATACTTCCTGACTCCTCATGTGGCAGTCATCTTGCCACTTGTATCCCCATCCCGGGGTGTGGCAGAACTCAGTCATACTCAGAGGCCCAGCTGCAACAGCTTCTGGAGGGTTTCAAACAAAATTCCCAGGGTCTCACAGAGATTTAGATTAGGGCAATCTCAGCTGTGATTTGGAAGTCTCAGTTTTTAAAGGTTCGACTCTGGATGGATAGCTCAGTTAGTTAGAGCATCAGCCTGATACACCAAGATTACAGGTTTGATCCCTGGTTAGAGCATGTATAAGAATTCTGCCAATGGCCCTGGCCGGTTTGGCTCAGCAGTTAGAGTGTCCGCCTGCGGTCCGGAGAGACCCGGGTTCGGTTCCCGCTAAGGGCACGTACCTCGGTTGCAGTTTGTCCCCGGCCCTGGTTGGTCGTGTGGGTGGCAGCCACTCGATGTGTCCCTTTCACATCGATGTTTCCCTCTCTTTCTCTTCCTCTCTCTCCCTCCCACTCTGTCTGTACAAAAAATGGAAAAATGTCCTCGGATGAGGATTAAAAAAAAAAAGAATTCTTCCAATGAATACATAAGTGTAATAACAAATATATATCTTCCTCTCCCGCTTCCTCTCACTCTCTCAAAATAAATAATAAAATTTTTTTAAATAAATAAAAATAGTCCTAGCTGGTGTGGCTCCAGTTGGTTGGGTGTGGTCTTGTGACCGGTTCCATTCCTGGTCAGGGCATATGCTTGGGTTATGGGCTTGATCCTCGGTAGGGAGTGTGCAGGAGGCAGCCGATCAATGTTTCACTCTCACATTGATGTTTCTCTCTCTCTCTTTTTCCCCTTCTCCCTTCTTTTTTCTCTAAAAATCAATAAAAAATATTTTATAAATAAAAATAAAAGTTTCAAGGTGGTAGGTGAACAGACATGTTTGAGAACCACCAATTTAACTTACTTGGCTTCATTTTTTTTCCATATCTGTAAACTTATTCTTTCTGCTTGTCCTATTTGCTCCACTTGGGTGATGTGAAACAAAATACATTGGAAGATGGAAAAATATTTAGTCTAATGAGAGTTGTAGACCCCTAATCTGTGCAGCTGAGACTTACCTAATTATTGATTAAAAGGGGCTTTTGGCTTTCTTGGGTGTGAAGCAATGGTTTGTAACCCTCACTTCATCAGACTTACCTGGTAAGCTTAAAAAAGAATATCCCATTTTTAGAGGTTTGGTTTTAGTAGGTCTGGAATGGGACCTTGGCGTTGAAATTTTTAAGAAACTTATCCTACTTCATAACCAAGGTTGAGGACTACTAGTGTCGAGAAAACTTAGTCCGACATTCTCTTCACCCCATACTGAGACCTGGGATGCTTCTCAGGCCTTGTAACAGCCAGTGCTTTTGGTTCTTGGTTCTTGGTTCTCAGTGTCATTATCTGGTTTGTAGGGTCAGACTTTTTCTAAAATGTTCAAGCAGGTTCTCTTTCTCTCTAACAGATGACTCCAAACTGCCTCCCCCACCAACCCTGGAGCCCACTGGGCCTGCACCTTCCTTGTCTGAGCAAGAATCCCCTCCAGATCCCCCCACTCTAAAACCCATCAATGATAGCAAACCTCCAAACCGATTCCTAAAACCCAGAAAGGAGGAAGAAGATGAGCTTTTGGAAAAATCACCCCTGCAAGTAGGGAATGAGCCCTTGCAACACCTACTCAGTGACAGTGGCATCAACAGACTGTCCCTCATGGCCTCTGAGGCCCCTGCCGGTGCCCCGCTCAGTAGCGTGGGCCGCCGCACCTCAGTCCTGTTCAAGAAGGCCAAGAATGGGGTTAAGCTGCAGAGGAGCCCAGATGGGGCCCTGGAGAATGGCGAGGACCATGGTGCAGTGGGCTCTCCTGCCTCTCCCACCAGCATCGAGGATGAGCAGCATTCCCGGAAGCGGCCAAGGAGCAGGAGCTGTAGTGAGAGTGAAGGGGAGAGGTCACCCCCGCAAGAGGAAGAAACAGGTGACCCTGTCTGTGACTTTTGCTACTTCTCATCTGCTTCTTTGCTTTGTCTTGCCAGCTAGCACCTCCCCCATTGGCTGCCTCCTTAATGGCCCCTGCAGATGCCAGTAGAGGCCTTGAGGACCCCATGGCTCACAGTTGGGCCTGGCACATGATGATCAGTGGCCTGGGGAAGCAGGCTTTGAACAAGTGTTTTGAGAGGGCTGGTTTGTGTCTGGGCTTCTCTTTGGCCCTGAGGGCAAAGCTATATATGGTAAAGTGGGTCCTATCCTCATTTTAGTTAATTTATTTATCAGATATATCAGGCATTGTTCTAGGTACTGGGGCAAAGATCTCCCTTGGAGGGGAGATTGACTAAAAGCAAGTGAGTGAATTGTATCTTATATTAGAAGTTATGGAGATAAAAGCAGCAGAGAAGGGGGATAGGGATGCCGGGGTGGTATTAGGGTGGCCGGGGAGGCCTTCTGAGGAGGTGACATTTGACTAAAGATCTGAAGGAGTTGAAGGTGTGAGCTATTTGGGTATGTGGGAGATGAACATTTCAAAAAGACAGAGATAGAGTTGCAGGTGCACAGTTCCTGGCAGTGGGAATATGCCTGCACCATCTGAGGAATAGCAAGAGACCCCACGTGGCTGCAAGAGAGTGAGCCAGGGGTGGTAAGAGATGAGATCCCAGAAGTAGCTAACAGGGCCTCAATCTCTAAAGAATTGTTACTACATGTCCAGCATCAGCTGGTTGCGGGGAGGGACAGGTAGTAAGTCAGGCTCAGTTCCAGCTCCTGAAGGATTCACAGGCTAGTGGGGAGGCCAGATGGTTTCCTGAGCTGCAGAGCTGTCACTACTGGAGGTGTTCAGGGAATATGAGCTGGAGACGTTCGGAAGGCTTCATGGAGAGTTGATGCCTAAGCTGGCCCTGAGGGATGAGGGCAGAATAGAAAGGAGTAGATGGGACAAAGGGGCCCCATCCAGGTGTGTGGAAACAAAGACAGTCCCTGTGAGGGACAGTTGGGAGAGGGGCTTTCAGAGTGTAAGGAGCCAAGGCTGGATGGTGAGGTAGGCCTGAATATGCAGGGCCCCCATTGCCACCCAGAGTAGTTGAGTCTTGGGATATGGAAGGCCAGCTTGCTTGGTGGGAGGGGCCTGCTCTTGGCTATTGTTACTCATGTCTCTCTCATGTCCTTTTATGTGGTGGCTTTGGGCTGTATGGCCAGCACATGCTTTTTCTGCTTTTCTCTCTTCCTTTCAACTACTTGGTTCCCAGCAGTACCGTCCCTTCCTGTTTGGCCCAGGCTTCCTTGTATTAGGGCAGTAGGTTGGTATACAGAGTCAAGAGCTTGAGGCCTGCAGTTAGGCAGACCTGAGTTCAGATTCTGTCTTACCAGTTGTGTATCAAATTAATTAACTAGCCAAATTGAATGGGCTCTTTTATTGTGATACTGACTTTGCAGGGCTCTAAGGGTTGGAAATAGCCTGGCATGTAACAGTAGATGGTAACAGTATCGCTGTCATCTTCTCAGCCATATCAGGCACAGCCAAACAGTACTGAGACTATTGTGCACAAAAAATGCAAAATCCTGCTACTGGGAAGCTGGACATCAGGCTCATTCAGTGTGAGGGGGCCCACTGCTTGGGGATGCCGCTGAAATCTGTTCCTCCTCAGTAGTCCAGCTGCTTGGCGCTCAGGAATGCCTCCACAGCCTTCGTTGAGCCTCACAAAAACAGGTGTCAGTCCTTTGCAGATGAGACACCTAAGGCACAGCTAGCTTAGTGATTTAAATTGAAGTCACAGTGTTAGATGCAGAGCCAAGTTAGAGTTCAGATATCTTGGCTCAGACACCTGCTCTTACAGGTGTGACTTGCCTCGCAGTTTTCTGGCTAAGGTGACATAGAGCTCTTGACTCAGCTCTCTGACTTGTAGGATTCTGGATTGTAAAGAATTGGGAGAGGTAGGAGAGTTGAAGCCTTCACAGCAGAGGAGTGTCATGTCCGTGAGATGAGTGGATCGTCTTCATTTGCCTTCGAAGGGCTCCCTGCTGTAAACAGACCTCTTTTCATTCATAATTAATAGCAACTTCCATAAATCAAAGCATATTATCTTCACAGAAGGAGAGGCCAAGGCTTAAAGAGGAAAAGGGATCTATATTTTATTTTATTTTTTTTGTGGTACATGCCCCTAGCGGGAACCGAACCTGTGGTCCGCAGGCCAACGCTCAACTGCTGAGCCAAACTGGCCAGGGTAGGGATCTATATTTTAGAGCCTGGTCTAGAACCCAGGGAATTCTGACTCCTCATCACAGAAAGATCTGGTCTGCTTTAGTTCTGCTGAAAAGTCCCCATCCTCAAGTCTGATGAGCCCTGCTAGAAATCTCCGGGTGTGGTTGACACAGCCCTTATCCTGCCCCAACCTCCCCTGACACTATCCCAAAAGAATGAAGCTAGCTGTTGCCAGCTGTGTGATGGATAGGGTGTGAGTGTTTATCTGAAGAGCCAGGCGGGTGGGCTCCCCAAGAGGCAGTGGAGACTCCCTGATAATTGAGGCTTGAAATGAGAAGCAGATCCAGGGACTTGTGAGCCAGCCGGAGTGGGGAAGTTTTGGTATTTCCCTTTGTAGCCAGATGACAATTAACGAGTGAGCTGTGTGCTATGTTTTTCTTACAGTAGAACCAGAGGAAGGGAAAGAAAATGCCATGTCTGCTCATTGCCCCAGCCAACATTTCCCCCAAACCTTTATCAGTTTCTACTACCCAAGACCCATTTTCCACAGGGGAGGACACAGCCATACTCTTCCCCTTCCTTGAGCCCTCCTGAGGTGGCTCACACTGCAGTGAGGGGAAGGGGGGTTTCTGCACTCAGTCTCACTCTGTGTGTCCTTGGCAGGCGTAACCAACGGCTTTGGAAAACACACCGAAAGCGGGTCTGACTCGGAATGTAGTTTGGGTCTCAGTGGTGGACTGGCATTTGAAGCTTGCAGGTAAGAACACTTATCCTCAGAGCTTTGTTGGCAGCTTCACCACCTTGCCCTTTATTCTCCAATCAGCTACAAATTGAACCTCTTTCTGCTTATCAGATTTCTTTCTTCCCCCACCCCTGCTATTTCCTGAGGCCTCTGGTCTGTAACCCTGGTAGTTCCTAGGAAACAGTGTGACCCTTGACTCTCAGGCCTGATTAGGAGGGGAGGAGTGATTCTGATACTTCACAGGGTTTGTGGAGCTGAATTTGGCTCTAGAGGGTGGGGCCAGCCAAATCTCTATTGCCCAGAGAAGTTAACATTTGAGCCAATCCCCCACCCATCCCCCCTCCCCCAACCCGCTCAGATAACCCAGCTCATTACAGACATGATTTCGCTCTTTGCCTTTTGGGACGTTGTAGCTGTGGCCCCTTTAGAGGTGTGTTGTGGGAATAAGAAATGAGCTGATAGGAAATTTGGAATTGCCTTTTATTAGACAAAGGCCCCAGCTCTTCCACCATCGTTGAACTTTGGGGGATGAGTTTCTTTTTCCATTTACCTGAAGGGAGGATTTCTGATACCAGAGCCTTAAAGTTTCTTCCACATCCAAGAGTTTATTGAATCCCTGCCCTGTCTTGTGAGTTCTACAAGAGGCCAGGGAGTGTGGGACTCTTGGAAATGGGAGTCCCTTGGTGCCACAAAGGAAAAACGAGTTGCCCTGAAGGCTGACCTCATAGTCCCTCCACATGGCTGCTGAATGGATTCTGAGTTCAGAGTAGGGGAGATGGTCCCAGGGGAATGAACACAAAAGAATATGTATCTGTGTTTAAAGTACCTCCAAGGCAGGTTGGGTGTTTGTTCTGTTAGGTGCTTGTTCTACCCTGGCTGCTGGGCTCCTGGTGGGTCCATGGGAGGCCCTCAGCTATCCCTTGGGCCTGGACTTGCCCCACTGCGGCAGAGCCCGCCTTTCAGTGGTTCCTTTGAGGTTTCCCTCCCCATCAAGCCTCAGAATTGCCCTATCTTACTCCCCCTCCCCCATGTGGCAGTCTCTAGAGATATAGGGAGTGTAGATGGGAAGGAACACAGTTACCAGAGAAGAGGCAGAGAACTCAGACTCATAAGATGCTTCTTGCCTGGTCCTGGGTTAGAGTTCCTGGCTCCCTTCAAAGATATGGTGCCTGGAAACCCAGTTCATTGGGGGAAGGGTAGGAGTGGGTTACCAAAGTGTCCCCTCCTACACCTTGACTGAAGGTCAAAGGTGTGTTGGGCTCTTCCTTCTGTGAAGGGCACTCTTCCCACAAGAAGCAAGCAGAGCCAGGCTCTAGTGTGTTTGCCATTGTGCATAACTCCAGTCCAGTGCCACTGATCTCGCTGGGGCCCTCCTCAGCGTGGAAACAATGCCCTTGGAAGGCATTTCCTCTTTAACTTAGTGGTTCTCAGTGGAATTTCAAGGTTTGAAATAGGAGATTTGGGGGCTCCGATTGCCAGGGTTTTTTCTTTCTATGCTGTGGTGATAAGTATATAAAGGACCATCTTATTAATTCTATTGGAATCATATAATCCGAGAATTAGAAAGAACCTTGAAAGAACTTCTGGTCTCTAATCCCACTCCCCGCCCCACATGCCCTTTGGTTTATCTGTTCTGATGATTTTCTGAGCAGGTTAGGGCTGCACCATCTTTCTCTGGGTCATTTCTTCAATTATTAATTGAGCATCTATGAGCCAGGAACTGTTCTAGGCACTGATAAGGTGTCTGTTCTCAAGGAGCTTATCTTCTAGAGGGCAGAGTTGAATGTTAAACCAGCAGACAAAGTAATTATAGGTTTGGTTGTCTGCTTAGGCCTGGGTAACTTGGGAGAGAGGGCTGAAATGCAGGCCATGATTGAGTCACTTGTGCTTTTTTCTTTTCTTTTTCAAAAATTTTATTTATTTAGAGACAGAAAGGAAGGGGAAAAGGAGTGAGGAAGGGGGGAAGGGAGAGAGAAACATCGATTTGTTGTTCCACTTATTTATGCATTCATTGGTTACTTCTTGTATGTGCCCTGACTGGGGATCAAACCTTCAACCTTGGCAAATCAGGTCAGCGCCCTAACCAACTGAGCCACCTGGCCAGGCACACTTGTACCTTTTCCTATGAAACAGAAGAACACAGACCTAGTCTGGTGTTGCATCTCATGTTGTTGAGCTCATCCTTCTCAGAGCTCATCATTTGAATAGTATGACAGTAGTTTATAATATTTAAAGTGAGATGTTAAAATTACTGACCTTCATATAATGTTTATTATAAAACTGCATATTTATTGAGTGCTTGGTGTGTGCCAGCCATACTGAGTGCTTCCTGTGTATTAATCCATTACATCTTAATAGCAACATATGAGGGACACAAGCCTCAAAGAGGTTAAGTAACTTGCTCAAGGTCACACAACTACTGAGTAAAGAGCCAAGTTCTGAACCCAGGAAGTCTGGCTCCACAGTTTAATCTCTTAACCACTTTGCTGGGCCCTCTTCTGTTGTATTTGAAGATGTCTTCCCAGATCCATGATGTGAAGTTAGGCTTTCCTAACGAAACTACTGGTACCTTACATTGTATAAGGCCTCAGAGTCTCTAAGCTCAGTGGCAGATTTTTGTTGGGTAAGTGGGAACTGAATCCTAAATGTGAACTGGGTATTTTTTGTGTTTTTCCAAATGAACCCTAATATTGAGTAGCAGGAAAAATGCTCCCAACCTACTAGTTACTGAAGGATTATGATTCATTGGGTTCTGGTTGTGCAAGTGTTCTGTATATGACCGTGATAGAGTCAGTTATGATTCAATAAAACAGGAATATCCTGCCCTGGCCAGTTTTGCTCAGTGGTGAGAGCGTCAGCCTCTGGACTGAAGGGTCTCAGGTTTGATTCCCAGTCAAGGGCACGTATCTGGGTTGCAGGTTTGATCCTTGGCCCCGTTGGGAGTCGTGTGGGAGGCACCAATCCATATCTGTCTCTCACATCTATGTTTCTCTCTCTCTCTCTCTCTCTCTCTCTCTCTCTCTCTCTCTCTTTCTCTCTCTCCCTCCCTCCCTCCCTCCCTATCTAAAGATCAATGGAAAAATATCCTTGGGTGAGGATTAACAACAACAACAAAAAACAGGAGTACCTTGCTCTCCGACGAGTCCTAACTCTGGCCTCCTCTTATCCCACCAGAAGTTTCTTAAGCATTTCTGTTGTGCAAATTGTTGGCCTGTCTTTTAAGCATTTTTTCAGTTGAAAAATTATATAGTGGTAATATTTTTTAAAATTTGGATGGAAAGAAAACCCTAGTCACATTATTCTTGCCCAGAGACTCCCACTTTTGGTTGTACATTAGAGTAGCATTGGGAACTATTTAAAAATACTGATACCTGTGCAGGTTCAAGTTATACCATTACTCTGGTTTTAGTATTCTCACTTTTGCTTACTGTCTTCTAGACATTGTCAAATATATATTTTTTTACCTCCTTGCAGTAGCCATGTAAAAAAACAAATCCATCTTTGTCTAAGAAAAATTCACACACATGAAGTGGAAGTGGGAAGTGGATTTTTTTTAATTTAAAAATGTCTTTTCTAATTAAAGAAGTAAGACATGTCCTTTATAGAAAATTTGAGAAAGAGGCAGATTTTTGTACCTCTAAAAAATAAATCAGTTTCTAAAGAGCAAGCAGTTTGAACCACAGAGCAAAGAATTCTGGGTGATTATGAGATGGGCCCTCCTCAAGCGCTTGGCATGACCTTTCCTCTGCATGAAGTTCAAGGTCCCCGAACAGGGGAGCGGGCATTTCTTGCCAGGTTCAGTCCTCTCACATAGATAAAATGGTTCCTTGAAATCTCATGGGAACTTTCTGTAGTGTATCATGGGTTAGGGTGAGTTTTTAGAGGAAGATGAGAAACCATTCTCCTTGAAGGGTTTATGCAGCTCAACTCCTGTCAGCCATAAGAGCAGGAGTGGGGGTGTTAGTCATTGAAACGCCTCATTTCTCCTCCCTCCCTGCTCTGTATGCAGTGGTCTGATGCCCCCCAAACGCAGCCGTGGGAAGCCAGCCCTGTCTCGAGTGCCCTTCCTGGAAAGTGTGAACGGAGACTCTGACTACAGTGGCTCAGGTGAGGAACAACGTGCAGGTGGATTTGGGGGGTGGGTTGCAGGCCTTCCAAAGAACCAGCCCTCTGGTCTGGCTAGACCCTGAGCTCCTCCAAACCCTACTGGGTAGGGAGATGGTCTTCCTTTGCAGGTCATTCATACTCTCCCCCACTCTCACCCCCACCCCAATTTGAATTGGTAATATATGTCCATGGTAACAAAGATCAGAAAGATACAAAAGGGTGTAATATTGAAAAAACCAGTGCTCTCCTCCCTGGGACAACCACTGTTAGCAGTTTCTTTTGTGACTTTCCAGATATAATCCTTGCACACACAAGCCAAAACTCACATGTATATGTAGGAGAGTGACTAGAGAAGCCTATTGTACATGTTTCTCTAAACCATGCTTTTTTTCTTTTTAGTTAATATATCTTAGAGATCCTTCTGTGCTTTTTATCATCTGCCGAATGCCCCATTATAGTGGAGTACCGTTATTTACTTACTTTACAGATCACATTTCGATTGTTTTCACTGATTTATAATCTGTGTTGCAGTGAGCAACCTTGTACATAGATCATTTTGTGTGTGGGGGTGTGTCTATAGAAGTGGAGTTGCGGTGTTGAAGGAAGTATGCATTTGTAGTGGACAGATGCTGCCTGTCTTCCCTCCCTGGAGTCATTAGTGACACTGAAGCTTACATGTGACTTGTCATTTCATGTGATCCAGTCCTTTCAGCCCTCCCCTCATGACACATGCCAACTGGTCAAAACAGTGAAATACGACGTCTTTTCTCCTTATACCAAGGAAATAAAGGGGCCAAAGGAGAGGCTTGGCTGGTTCTCAGGGCAAGCGGATGCAGAACTGGCTGTTCTCTGAGCATCTGTCCAGCCCACCTGTGGCGAGTGTGTGCTCTCTGGATGCCTATCTTGGAAACTTTCATTTAAAGACTTTGGGACTTTTCTTCTCTTTCCTTTTTTCAACTGTGTTATCTTCCCTTAGCATCACTTTTTGTCTTGTATGTGTGTTAATGAATGCAAGCCTGTGTGTTTCATTACTGTCTGACTGACTGTCAGTGCCCAGGAGGCAAGACTCACATCTAGATACAAAATCGGGAGTGGACTGGCATGTACTTTGTGCTTCTGCTGGTGACATTTTAATATTTTATTCTTATTGTAAAGCTACATCCTTCTTAAAATGATGCTGAAGGAAATTGACCTCCCATTGTTTCATCATCTTAACATAGTTGTCTTCATTTCTGTGTTGCCTTCTGTTCGTTTTGGACATGTTTTTTAACAATGCTAATCTAAAACACTTGCTCTTTTGTATTCTTTTTTCATTGTTATCTCATACTTTCTTCATGTTGACATAATCTTTATATATCTTCATCATTAGAACAGTGTATCTTTCCATCAGTGCATTACAATTAACCATTCTATTGTTAGACACTTGGTTATTTCCAACTTGAACATTATACATAGTGAACCCAAACTTTTGTTCAAAATTATTTTATTTGTTTATAAAGTTATTTTCTTCGACTAAGTTCCCAGGGAAGGAATTTACTGGAGCAGATGGTTCATACTTTTTTTTTTATGGCTTTTGAGACTTACACGCAGTTGCGTTCTGGAAGGATTGGCCTGCTCTGCAGCTGCCTCGGCAGGCAGAGTGTGACTGGTTTTTCTGCAGCCTGCCTCTCCGGTATTGGATTTTATCTTTTTGTTGTTATTGCTGTTGACGCAATAGGTAGAAACAATACGTCATTATTAGTAGTACATTTTTTAAAAAGTATAAATGAGGGTGGTAATGTTTCCTTAGAAACATAATTTCCACTCTGTGAGATTTGGGCCTTTTTTCTTGGTTGAGTGTGGTAACCTCCCCATTTCCAGGTTATAGATGTGCAGAGGGGAAGGGCGGGAGGTTCCTCTGTGTGTTCAGAAGCTTCTGTGAAGCACCCATCCAGGTGTGCTAGTGATTAGGGTGCAGAACAAAGGAAACTGAAGAGGCGGAACACCCAGTGTGAGGTTTGATAAAAGTAGGCAAGGGAAGGCCCTGTAGACCTGCTTGGCTCTGCTGAGGGCTGTGCACCCAGGTGACCTGTGGCCAGGTGTGCCCATGTCAGAAAGAACTTATCAAGTGGTTTCACCGGGAACTCCGCTCCAGGCATCTTTTTCCACGAAGCCTCCATCATGAGGGCTCTCCACTTGGGGAGGCCCAGAGAGCAATCTGGGTGATAGGTCTTCTCCCAGGGGCCCTGACAATGAAGCAGTTAACATTTTTCCAGGGAATGCCATCCATAGGTCAGCAAAGTATAGCCTATTGCCTGTTTTTGTAGGGCCCACGAACTAAGAATTGTTTTTCCATTTTCAAGTGATTGAAACAGAGAAAATCAAAGAATGTTTTGTAATGTGAAAATTACAAGAAATTCAAATTTCAGTGTCCAAAAATAAAGTTTTATTGGGACACAGCCACACTCATTCATTTATAGATTATCTTTGGCCCTTTCCTGCTGCAAGGCACAGTTGAGCAGTCGCAGCGGAGACCAGGTGGCCCACAGACCTCAGACATTTACTCTTGGCCCTTCACAGAATAGGTGTGCCAGCCTCCTCTAGTCTGAGAACTTTAAGGAAGGGGCAGGGAAGTGGAAGGGTGGAGGGGGTGGTCTGACTCATTCCTAGACTGCCCCAGCCAAATGGAGGCCACAGGCAGGCCTCCTGGGCACCATTCCAAGTCCCCTTTGGGCACTGTCTCCTCCCCTCCCCCACCCCCAGGCAGAAGCCTCCTGATGCCCTTTGAAGACCGTGGAGACCTGGAGCCCCTGGAGCTGGTGTGGGCCAAGTGCCGAGGCTATCCCTCCTACCCTGCCTTGGTGAGTCTGCCCCAGATGCCACCCTCCCCCCTCCCCTGGGCGGTTCTGGCCCCTGCCTTGCCCCAGGGGCTTATCTAATTGGATCAAGCCATCAGAGTGTGGTGGGAGTCAAGGTGCCTTCAACTTCAGAAGGGTTTTAGCCCAGCCTTGGGTGGATCAAACCAGCAAGGCTCCCAGCTTGGGGAGGCAGAGACTAGAGCTCTTAGGGATTTATTTGCTAAGGCATAAAAGTAACATGTGTTCATTGTAGATAATTTTTAAAGCTGCTAATCATGCTTAGATGTTTTATTAAACAGTTGTCATGCTAAATTCTTGAAATTCTGAGGAAGGTATGGTTTTTTCATTTTTGTAGGGGGAAAAACTGAGGATCCATTTTTTTACCCATGTCATCTAGCCTATTACGTGGCAGGGTTGCCATTTGAACCAGGGCTTAAAATGTGTGTCGCCTGTGTTCTTAGCCGCCGAATTAAAAGTCATCCGTCGTCCTATCTGTTCAGAAATGACCTTGCTATATATTCAGTCAGTCTATTTTTTGTTTAATGCATAGATATGCGTATTTATGAGACAGTACAACCTCCCTTTCACTTAACAGCATACCATGCACTTGCATGTCCTGTGCCATCAAACAGTCTTCATCAACTCCACTTTAATGACTACATTGTCTTCAGTTGTGTGCATGTATTTACCTTATTTTAACTGTTCCCTAATTGCATTTAAATTGTTTTGAATTTTTCAGTATGATAAATAGCAATATACATCATTGTAGCTTTGCCTTTGTGCACATCCTCGATTATTTCTTTACAGGGAATTCTTAGGAGTGCCTTTTAAGGCAAAGTCTATTCAAATTCTGATACAAATTGCCAGGTTGCCCTTAAGAAAGTTCCCACCAGCAGTAGCTAAACATTCCATTTTTATTATGTTGATTGTCATTTCTTAGATTTCTCTTTCTGTGTTGGGGAGGAGATGTCTATCTAGCCATGGAAGATGCTGATTCTAACCTTTGGGGCATGTCGGAATCATCCAGGGAAATTTTTTAAACAATGCAGATATTGGCTCCATCTCAGAACTACTAAATTAGACTCTCCGAGGTCAGACTGACTCAGGAATATTTTTGTTTGTTTAGAGAGAAAGGAAGAGAGAGAGCGATAGAAACATCGATGTGAGAGAGAAACATTGGTCAGCTGTCTTCTGTACGTCCCCCCACTGGGGATCGAGCTCACAACGTGGGCATGCACCCTGACTGGGAATCAAACTGGGACCTCTCAGTCCATGGGACGATGCTCAGTCCACTGAGTCACACCAGCGGGGCAACACATGAATATATTTTTAAAAGCTTCCCAGCTGATCTGTAGCCAGGTTTGAGAACCACCCCCTACTTCATGCATGCACACAGAGCTCTGGGCTGCTCCCAGCTCATTCATGTCTGTGGCTCTTTCAAGCAGCCTCTTAGGTAAAGGAGGGCAAGAACACTGACCCTTTTAGGACAGGTGAGGAAACCACAGCTCCAAAGGTTATACAGTTTGCTGGAACCATATTGGAACCCAGGTTGCCTGCCTGCCTTTTTTAGCAGTGGCAGGTGGCAGAATCCATGCTATTATCCAGCCACTGAGGGAGGTTGGACCCAGGGCTATCTTCCCAAAGCTCTGTGCCCTGCTGTTCCTGAGACTCCCAGTTTTGTCATCGAAGAAGGGATTAAGGTTGTGCAGGGGTTTTTTTTTGGGGGGGGGGGGTTAGAGAGAGAGGAAGGGAGAGAAAGATAGAAACATCAGTTGTCTGCCTCCTGCACTCTCCCCCACTGGGGATCGAGCCCACAACCCAGGCATGTGCTCTGACTGGGAGTTGAACCAGGACCTCAGTCCATGGGATGCTCAATCCACTGAGCCACACCGGTCGGGCGTGGTTTGTTTGTTTTTTTTAAATCTCACTGCAAAACAAGCCTCTAAAACAAGTCTTGTTTTTTTTTTTTTTTCTAATTATCTTCTTAATGATACATTTTATTTCATGATTAAAGGAATTCAGCTACCACCTGAAAATCCAGTCACATGAACACAACCTTTGTTTTTATCTTGGTTTATGTTCTTCTGTGCTTACTTAAATATGTACAGTTGACCTTCGAATAACACAGGTTTAAACTACGTGGGTCCACTTACCCTCAGATTTTTTTCACTAAATACACACTTAGCCCTTGTATCCCCAAGTTTTGCACCTGGAGATGCAGAGGGCTGACTGGATAAGGGACTTGAGCATCCACGGATTTCAGTCACCGCAGGGTTCTTGGAACCAATCCCTGTGGATACCAAGAAACAATTGTAGTTAAGTTTTGGGGGAGTCAGATGTTACGTGTTTTTGCTTTTTCTATAAAAGTAACATATCTACATTAAAATAGTTTTGGAAAAATAGGGGAAAGCAACATAAATCCCCTTCATTCTAACATGCCAACTGTAAATATTTTGTATTGTTCTTTCTGTTTACTATGTACATATTACAGTTGTAATAGTGTTTGTACACATTTATTATGTTACAAGTTTATCGTAAACTTTATTTCCATCTCTTTTCACATCTGCCTAACACTTGAGTGAATGGACCATTATTTATTATTTTGGGACCCACTTGCCTCTCTTTTCTTTAAGAAAGGAGGCACGCTCTCCTTAACTGGCAGTCTTCCCTACCTTGCTTCTGCCCTTAAGGGACGTTTTTCACTATTCATCCACCTTGCAAGAACCAACATGGCCGAGTCAAGAGGAAATGTCAGAGTGGCCTAGGTGTCTTGTTCAGTAATTGAGGGAGCTCAGGAAGGCTTGTCTGTTGGTTTCCATTAGGATCCCTAGTTTCAGTCCCAGGAGGGACAGGCAGGCTAGGAGATACAGTTTTGACTGAATCACAGCTGGGGGCAGGGTAGGCATGACTCTTCCTTGGAGTAAACTCTTAACCAGAGCACCTGCTTTCAGCTGGTTGTCTTGAGAGGGATGTAGAGAGGCTGGCAGACACCCAAAGGTAACTAAAAGAGCGGTTTATTGTGAGAAGAGGTCCCTGGGACAGGATCTGTAAATTATGATAGCTCCATCTCCGGAGAAAGCTGCTCCTCAGTCGGTGTCCATATCTCTCTGGCCTCAGCACACCAACGCTGATCACCCAGCGACTCGGGAAGGAGGCCATGCAGGAGGCAGCGGGCCGCAGAGGCTCAGGGGCTTGGTTGTAGCCCCAGCCTTGGCCTCGAGCAGCTACATCCTCCTCCTGTGCTTGGCATTTTTCTCTGTCAGCTAATACCTATCAGAGACTTCCCATCATCAGCAAGAGGGTGAACTGAGGTGGTGATGTGTGACTAATTAGGAACTTTGGTAACTGTTAGTGCTCCACAGAGCTGGAGAATTATTGTTGTTGATAGACCGGCCATTTTGCAGAGCCCCTGCCCTTGTGGAACAGGCAGTCTTGAGGATTCATGCCTCCAGTGGCCCTCGTTTCAGCCACGTCATTCTCCCCTCTCCAGCAACCCTCGAAGCTCAGTCTTCTAGCTTCTCTCTTATCTTACCGTGGAGGTGGCGCCAATGTACCTGTCTGCACACCAGGAAGAGGCCAGACGGGAAGGGAGTGGATAGGGTAACCAGAGGCTCTGTTAGGTTAGAACTGAAGGACGGGCCCTCCTGCTGATGCAGAACCTCTTCATAGCCATGGTGTCTGGGAAGCCCCTGAGCATTTGCAGTGAATTGCAAAGGTTCTTAAGAAAAAAATGGCCTCCAGTCCTCTCCCCTAAGGGTAGTGGTTCTCAACCTTTCTAATGCCGTGACCCTTTAATGCAGTTCCTCATGTTGTGGTGACCCCCAACCATAAAATTATTTTTGTTGCTACTTCATAACTGTAATTTTGCTACTGTTATGTCTTAGGCGACCCCTGTGAAAGAGTTGTTCGACCCCCAAAGGGGTCGCGACCCACAGGTTGAGAACTGCTTCCTAAGGGGCATTGGGAGGAAGGAGCTTGCCTGTCTGACCTGGCTATCAGAGACACCCACTCAGTGAGACACCCCACTCAGGATGACTCCCCCATGCTGGTTTCCCATTACTTCTGTTTCAGCTCTGGGCCCTGACAGTTCATGGAGCAAGTGTCTCTTGTCTGAAGGACTGGTTAGGCTGGACCAGAGGATTAGGACAATGAGCTGAGGAAATAGTAAACATTTCCATTTTGGAGTACTGAGTCATGGAAGAAGTCCACCTCTCCGTCACTTGGTGGTGGGCCTAGCTAAGGCCCTGCATAGCTTTGGTGGGAGGTGGTTTAGTGGTTAGTACTGGGGCGGGCTGCCCTGCTCACCCCATCCACCCCTAGCTGAGTGCTGTCTCCTTTTCCTCCCTCTAGATCATCGATCCCAAGATGCCCCGGGAGGGCCTCCTGCACAATGGCGTCCCCATCCCTGTCCCCCCACTGGATGTGCTGAAGCTGGGAGAGCAGAAACAGGCCGAGGCTGGAGAGAAGCTCTTCCTTGTCCTCTTTTTTGACAACAAGCGCACCTGGTGAGTGGGCGCTGCTGCTGGGAAGGTGTGTCAGGGTTCAGACTGAGGGGTTGTGCAAATTCTGACATGCTGGAGAGGTGCACGGAGAGACTGGGCTCAGTCACCCTGCCTCCACCAGGGGAAGAGGAGGCATTGCTTGCCAGCAACTGGCCTGCACTTGGCAGGTTAGTAGTAACTTAGTGTTACTAGCAATACTGATTAGTAGTGTTATTAGTAACTGAGATCAGATTTCCTGGGAAAACCCTGACATGGAAATTTGATTCAGGAGGCTTACTGGGGACGAGGGCCACGACATTGCAGTAGAGCCATGGGGACCAGGGACACCGTACTAGGAGGAGAGCTGGGGGACCGGGGTCGCAGCACTAGGAGGAGAGCTGGGGGACCGGGGACGCAGCACTGGGAGGAGAGCTGGGGGACCGGGGTCGCAGCACTAGGAGGAGAGCTGGGGGACCGGGGTCGCAGCACTAGGAGGAGAGCTGGGGGACCGGGGGCGCAGCACTGGGAGGAGAGCCGGGGGACCCAGGACGCAGCACTGGGAGGAGAGCCGGGGGACCCAGGACGCAGCACTGGGACCGGGGACGCAGCACTGGGAGGAGAGCTGGGGGACCGGGGTCGCAGCACTGGGAGGAGAGCCGGGGGACCCGGGATGCAGCACTGGGAGGAGAGCTGGGGGACCGGGGTCACAGCACTGGGAGGAGAGCTGGGGGACCGGGGTCGCAGCACTGGGAGAAGAAAATGTTGAACTGTGATGCTCTTGCTACAGAGACCTCAGCTGATCTTATTGGGAGCTCTGGAGCTGGATGGCTCGTTAGCCATGTCAGAAATTGAGACTGTGCCTTTGTACCTCCATGGGAACTAGTCACTGAATGTTGGCTGCCCCTGGGGAGGAGCGACCTCGGGCCAGGCAGCTCCCTTGGTGGAGGGTGGTTCCTGGAGAGAACTTGGCTGAGAGCTTGTCAGCTGCCAGAACATCCAGTGACTGCAGGAATTGGTGTCTCGGTCCTGGGGCCAGGGCTCTGGGCCAGGCAGGGCTCATTATAAGGGGCTTGCTCATTGTTTACGAGCACCTCAAGGCTGCTGTTAGCACCAGCTGGAGAGTTCTTTCACCTTTGCTTCTACAGAATAAGGAGGTAGGAGTAGCTAGTAAAAATGATGAGAATAGCTAACATTTATTAAGTGTTCACTCTGTGTCCTTAATGTAAATTACTTTACATGTATGATCTCATTTAATCCTCATTTAAATATTCATTGATTCCCCACCACACCCCCCAATCCTCTTTGCAGATGAGGAAGCGGAGGCTCAGAAAGCCAAGACCCTGTAGTCAGAACTGGGATACATACTAAGATTTGACTCCGAAGGCTGGGCTCTTAGCTACACGTTAGATTCACTTGGGGATATTTTTGTTGTTACTCCTCACCTGAGGATATTTTTTCATTGATTTTTAGAGAGAATGGAAGGGAGGGAGGGAGTTGGGGTAGGGGAGAGAAACATGCATGTGACAGAGACACATTGGTTGCCTCCTGCACGTGCCCTGACTGGGGCTGGGGATCAAACCTGCAACTCAGCTACGTGTCCTTAACTGGGGATTGAACCCGAAACCCTTAGGTGCCCAGTTCGACACTATGATTGCTAGGCTACACCAGCCAGGGCACATGGAGATATTTTTTAAACACCAGGTTTATGCCCCACAAGGGATCATTTCACTGATGCCTGGCATCAGCCCCTTCCTAGCCATAGCTTCCTGATTCTGCAACACAGGGTGTGCCTCAGAGCCCTTCGGTGGCTCAGCCAGTCCCAGAGGGCAGCACATGGCCTTATCTTGGCTCCTGGGCCCTGATGATCCCCTAAGCAGAGTCAGCACCCTAGGGCACAGAGAAGGGGCTAACTGCAAAAACAGGTCCCTTGGTGGCCTCCTGTCTGGGGTGTCCCAATCTGCCTCCCTCTGCCTGTCCCTTCTCCACTGTTTGGCTAGTCTTGGGAGCACCCTTGTGGGACCACCTCACCAAGGCCCAGGTGTCTTACTGTGCTTGTATTTTAGGCAGTGGCTTCCGAGAGACAAAGTTCTGCCCCTGGGTGTGGAAGACACCGTGGACAAGCTCAAGATGCTGGAAGGTCGCAAGACTAGCATCCGCAAGTCAGTGCAAGTGGCCTACGACCGAGCAATGATCCACCTGAGCCGTGTCCGGGGGCCCCACTCCTTTGTCACCTCCAGCTACCTGTAAGGGCGGGGCCTGGCCTGTGTCTGCCTGCCCTGCCTCTACCCCTTTCATAGCAGGCCAGGGACTGACTGGGCCCAATGCTTTCCAAGGGCAAGGCCCCAGTTTTGAAGAACTGCATGGTTCCCCTGGCAGGCCTGCTGTGTGCCAAAACCTCCCACCTGCACTCCCTCGGGCTGGCCCACTGAAGGACCAGTTAGAAGCAGAAATGGCCATGAGGCCCAGCGAGGAGATGGACCTGGCCCTAGAAGGCAGGGGTCCTGGGCTCTTTCTCGAGGGTGTGCCTGGCCCCCTCCACCCCACTCCCAGTTAACTACACCTCAGAGCGAGTGAGGCTTTGACGTTGACCCCAGGTGCTGTGGGCACACTAGGGTTCCTCGGGGAATCTCACTGAGCTCACCCTCTCTGCCCCCGCCACCCATTCTCACACCTCTTCCCTGGCCCATCTGTACACCTCCGCCCAGTCTTTCCCATGTTCCTTTTCCTTTCTCTGTGCCAAACTGACAGAAACCATCACCAAATTGGTCTTTTTGTTTTTGCGTCTCATTCCTTTTGAGGCCAGCTGCTATGCTAGGTGGGCGCCTCCACCTGGCTCCTCAGGGCCCAGAACAGAGGCCAGCCTGCCTCTCGGTGACCCCTCCACCAGCACACGCACTCCTGTCCCGTGCTGCTCCCCGCCTGCCAACCTTCGCATCTGCACACACCACTGAGGCCAGGCTGAGTGCTTGCCCCTCAGATGGAGACAGGTCCCTCCTGCCCTCGTCCTGTCTTGCCAAGAGGCAGCTGAGGCTGGACGGGCTCCTGTCAGCAGACCATGTGCCCATGTGGATGTTGAGGGTCGTTGAGGCGGAGCTGGGTCTGCCCCTTCGTTCTTCCTCTCCGCTCCTTGTGGGCTTTTCCTCCTCTGCAGCTGCGGCCTCCAGCCTCCCTGCCCACCACCGTGGACAGAGCGGGCCTGCGGTCCAGCAGCTTTCTGTCCTGGGCCCTGCCCTGCCCGCGCTGCCCTGCTTCCCGACCGCAGGGAAGCCAGCGCTTTCATTTCACCTCTGTCCGCTTCCCTCTCTTTCCCCAACCCCTCCCCACCGTCACCTTCTCAGAAACGGAAGGAAAAAAAGCTGTGAAACGGGGAATGCTGACTGACAAACCACAACTTTCAGAGGCTTTGGCGTCTGTTCTCGGGACGTTTCCTTCCCCTCCTAAGCACCAAAGTCGTAGGGCCAGGTCACAGGCCACTGATTGCCGTGTTGGTTTTTAATCTGATGTTCTTTTTAATGGTTTTAAATTTTACAGGGGAGTTTTGGACAAAATGAAGTCACTGGGGAGATCACTGCCATTTTTACATACACGAGTTTTTAAAAATACAGTCAACCAACCTCCGCAACTTACACATTTGGGACACGAGCCAGAGTTTTAAAGGGCACCAGCGAAACTAACAAGGATGGGGTTTTGGATTTTGTACTAAAAATACAATACAGCATACGGCTAGGGAAGGACATGGTGTATATAATTGTAAAATACTGTTCTAAATTATTCAGGCCTATAGTTTCCATTCCTAGAGCCCTTCATTGTGTGGCTGAAGACTCTAAGTGCACACAGTGTGGTTTATTTAAAGGAGCCAACGCATCCCCTCTCCCCAGGTAGTCAGTCGGCTGTGGACTCTGTGACCTTCGTCTCAACCTGTGTTGTAAGATCTCGGGGCTTTCTCTATTTCTCCTCTTTGTGTCTATCTTCCCTCCAACACTTTCTCTTTCTTAGTCTCTTTTTTCCTCTCTCTGAATTTTTCAGTCTCTCTGAGGCTTATTTTGAAAACTCTTCTTTTAGGATGGAAAACGGCTCAGATCCTGCTGTGGCGTGGGACATGTGTGTCTCGGTCGCGTCTGCTGTGAAGCACACGATGCTCTATTTATTGTAGAAAGTGACTTTATTTGCTTTCTAGAATTGTTTATAACAGATGGTATAAGAGAGGTAATAAACAGAGAAAAATCTATGCTTGTAAAGAATACAAAAGTTAATTTTACCTACTATAATATGACTGTCTGAAATTATTTTCTCTCTGAGAAATAAATGTTCTAATGGGCAGCAGCTGCTGTGTTGTATTTGGTGTCATTGGTGGGCGCCTGCCCCTCTTAATTCCTACAGCCCCCGCCCTCCTCGGGCCAGCAGCGGCTGACTGGGCTTGGCCAGCTGCTGCCGCTCCCAGCTGGAGAGGGCTCTGTCTCTTGCACCCCTGGCCCCGGTGTAGGCTCTGACCTTCTGGGAACTCCAGAAGGCCAGCCTGGCTCCGGGGCCTCCACTTTCCTGTGGCTGTTGTCCCTTAGGAGCATCTCTCGTTTAGTGGGAGAAGGGGTCCTTTGGACACCTCCAGCACCTCTTCACCACCTGGTGGGATTCGACTCTGGGGTGCTCATGCCTCCTTTGCCATGGTCTGTGTGTCCACCAGGGTTCCTTGAGCCTATCGGGTCTTCATTCTGCTTATGAGGAAAACTACCAAGATTAAAAAGACTTGTCCAAGGTCAGCCAGCCAAGAAGTGGTGGCAGAATCCTGGGACGAGAGTGTCCAAGGTGTTTCTTGTGGGCTGTGTACATTTCAGGCTGCGCTGGCTTCTGCTCCTTTGACCCCCCCCTCAGTGGCTGTGGCACCAACATTTCTGGAAAGGCCCATCTCCGAGAACAGAAGCCGGGGAGGATTCCCGGGGACAGACTGCTAGTGGCTGGGCCTGGTATGGCTGGAGGACACGGGTCTCCTGATCGCCTCCACAGGACCTTTGTCATTGAAATCACTAAAGTGTGAACGTTCTCAATTTGTTATTAACAAAGTACAGGCTCTGCCAGGTGGCTCCGCTGGCTAGAGCGTCGCCTGATGTGCCAAGGTCGAGGGTTTTATTCCCTGTCAGGGCACAAACAAGAATAAGTGGAACAATAAATGGATGTTTCTCTCCTCCTCCTCTCTCTAAAATCAATTAAAAAGAAAAAAAGTACCTCCACTGTGCTGGTGGTCCTTGTATTACATGTCGCAGGTGCAAAACTATACACCTAGGATGCTTACATTGCAGACAACTGAAGGAGGCAGATGGGAGGAATTTGGGGGAGAGAACACATTTGGGGGAATAACAAAAACTTTCAGAAGAATCAATTAGTTCAACCTTGAAAATGGGATCAAAAGTTCCTCTTTATAAATTTATACTTTGAATTGCAAAGGCAGCTTAGAGCAAAATTACAAGGTCACCCTATAAAACAGTTTGAAAACAAATTAAGGTGAAATGACCGAATGGTGGGGTTTGGTGGCAGGGATAGAGAGAAGGCAGCGTTCGGAGATGATGGTGCATATTCCACTAATGTGCCCTTATCCCTACACTGGAAGCCACCGAGGGGGCCAGGCAGCATGTCGGGATTATGAGCCCTGTTACTGGCTGTGACCACAAGCATGGTCTTCGACTTTTGCGTCTCTCAGAGACTGTCTTATTAGAGGACCCCACGGCCAGGGCAAGGCATTAACGCATCGTAGGCAGCAACATCTATTGAAGGAATGGAATAGGACTGGGACTTGGAAACTAATTAGACATCAGAGTAAAAAAGGAGCCCAGCCGGTGTGGCTCAGGTCCCAGTTCAGTTCCTGGTCAGGGCACATCCTCGGGTTGCGGGCTCGATCCCCAGTAGGGGGTGTGCAGGAGGCAGCTGGTCCATGTTTCTTTCTCACATCAATGTCTCTCTCTCTCTCTCCCCCCCTCTCCCGCTCCCTCTCTCCCTCCCCCCCTCCTTCCCTCCCTCCCTCCCTCCCTCAAAATTCAATTAAAACATAAAGAAAATAAAAGAAGGAATGTTAAGGCAGGGTGTTGGGGTGGCTGGAGGGATCAGCAGTGGGTTTGTGGGGAGGAGGAAGAGTTTAGTTTTTGATGAGTTTGCGTACAGGACATCTGAGAAATAGCCCCAGCAAGCAGAAGGGCCTGGGCCTGGCATTGGCGAGGAAGGCAGGGGCAGATGACAGGAATGTGGAGGCACTGGAGCCCCCACCAGGAGTTACGAGGATGGCCAAGGAGAGAGGGGAAGGACAGACCCGAGGGTAGCCCCTTGCATTGAGAGTCGGAGGGTAGGCACAGTGGCTGCAGAGGGCTCTGGTCCCCGGGGAGGGCCTCACACAGTGTCAAGCTTCAAGTATCTAGGCACACGGACTCACCTCCCAGAGCAGGAAGAGGGGTGCTGGACCAGAACCCAGCATTGCCTACTCTGCAGGCCCATGACTCAGCCCTTGAAGTGAGCAGAAGTGTCCTTAATGAGTTTTACTAATGCTGTGATTAAAATTTGTGTACTCCAGTCTAAAATATGACATGGGGGCACTCCAACTAGGAATAGAAAATCTCCTTTTTCTAACAAGTTTAAAATATACCATTAAAAGCATTTGCCAAAAAACCTGAGGTCAGCTTGGCCGCTTCCATTAATGTGTCAGTTTCCATTAACACTTGAGTGTGAATTTGCCTTTCAGATGGATCCTTCTCACGGCTGGGTTGTGAGCTTTGAGAGAAAGAAGGCGGGTGCCTGGCAAAGCTGCCCGGCTGGGGAGGGAGATGCGCTGGGGGCCTTTCCACCCCCGGGCTGCAGGCCTCCCGCCCTGGGACAAGGGAAAGAGGTCTTTGGAGGACACAAATGGTTTCTCCTAAAGAGGGGGCAGAAGTTTCTGCCTCACTGTGTGGTGGGAAGTGGGGCCACAGGTGTGTGTCTGCTGGGCCAGAGCTGGAGGGGAGCTCTGACTCCACCTGGGCACTTGGGGCGCCCTTCTGTTTGCCTTTGCCCTTCAAGGGTGGCAGAGGGCACTAGGGTGGGGAAAAAAAGAATATATATATATATAATTTATATATACGTTAATATTCACTACAATTTTAATGTTCCTAAGAGGGCTGAGATTCAGACACACAGAGTATAAAACGGGAATTTTCTATAGTTAACACCATAATAATATAATAATAATACTATAATTAATAATACTATACAAAATATCGCACACTTCAGAATAGCCCAGTGTAGAAAATCTTAATTCTCATCACAGGAAAAATCTATAACTATGTAGGGTGATGGATGCTAACTAGACTTACTGTGGTGATCATTACAAAAATAATTGTTGTACACCTGAAACTAATAAAATGTTGTATGTCAATTATACCTCAGTTAAAAAAAAGAAAAAAAAAGTGAATTGTCCCCAAATGTCAGCAGAGTGGTCATGTTATTTCAGAGAACACTGAGTCCTTGACTTGCTGGTTGGAAGTGGCGATGTCTGTCCAAAGTCCCTCACTTCTGAAGCAGGGTCTGAGTTCCTTCCTCTTCCTCTCTGCTCTGTATGGGCCCCTTCGGGGACACAGAGGCAGGATTGGGGACACAACCTTGTTAGTTCCCGCTGGGCAAAGGGGCCCAGGGGAGAGCCTCTCCCCCGGCTTCACAGTCCAGAAAGACCCCTGAACGATTTTTTCTGAACTGGACATGAAAGATTATAAAATTTGTTCTTTGCTATCTAATTTGGAAACTTTTTTTTTTTATCCTCACCTGAGGACATTTTTCCATTTTTTTATTCAGATAGAGTGGGAGGGAGAGAGAGGAAGAGAGAGAGAGAGAAACATCGACGTGAAGGGACACATCGACTGGTTGCCACCCGCACGACCCAACCAGGGCCGGGGACAAACTGCAACCGAGGTACGTGCCCTTAGCGGGAACCGAACTGGGGTCTCTCTGGACCGCAGGCTGACGCTCTAACCGCTGAGCCAAACCAGCCAGGGCTCCCCCACTTTGTTTTACTAAAATGTTGATTGTCTCCAGCAGTTGAACTGAAATGGGAGCTACTATGTATCTTCCTCCCAAGAACGTTGCCACTGGGGTGCATTTCCATGGAAACAAGCCCTACGCCACAGTCTGCCCCTGTTCACACATCTGCGAGTGAGGAGGCTCCCAAAGGACCGGTCCTTTCTCCCTCGGCTCCAGAAGCTCTGCCCTCAGGCACCGCTACTGGTCCAGCACAACACTCTGCCCAGGGGCCAGACAGGACTGCGGAGCTTTAGACGTGGAGCATTATTGTTGTTTTAGATACAACTTTACATATAGTAGTTCAGATACACAAACCTTAAGTTTAATGTCCTTGAATTTCTACCACCACCCAGATCAAAATACAGAACATTTCCAGTGCCCTAGAGGGTTCCTGGTGTTTCTTCCCAGTCACCAGCCCCCTCCAAGGGTAACCACTGTCCAGACTGTCGCCAGAGAGCAGTGTTGTCTGTTCTTGACCATCACACAGATGCAGTCACACAGTGCGTGCTCCTTCGTGTCTGGCTTCCTTCATCCAACATCATGTCTCTGAGCCCCTTCCCTGTTCTGCAGGTCCCTACAGGTTGTGTCGCTACTGCTGAGTAGCATTGCGCTAAGTAGCACCCTGGAGTTCGTTCAGATCTGGTATGGGGCTGTCAGGAGTGACACTGCTGTGGACATTCTCGTACGTGGCCTCAGTTTACCCCCAGGAGCAGAATTGCCCGGTCACGGGACAGGTGTATGTTCAGCCAGAGCAGACTCTGCCCAACAGCTTTCCATCGGCTGCACAGCCGACTCCCCCACAGCCGTGTGCACAGGTCCTGGTGCCACATCCTTGCCAACACTTGGTATTGTCAGCCCGGGATTTGCTCCACACCTGCTTGCTGAGTGGCTTCCTCTAAGCTTCATTATACAGCAAGTCTTCTCCCCGCCCCCCCCCCTTTTTTCAAAATCCTCACCCAAGGATATTTTTTTATTGATTTTCAGATAGAGTGGCAGGGGGTGAGGGGGAGAAAGAGAAAAACATCAATGTGAGAGAGAAACATCAATTGCTGCCTCCTGCACAACCCCAACCAGGGCCGGGGAACAAATTGTAACTAATCAATTTCCCTTGACCAGAATCGAACCCGAGACTCTTTGGTCTGCGGGCTGACACTCTAAGCGCTGAACCAAACCGGCCAGGGCTCCCCTCCCTTTCTTTTTTTTATTTTATTTTATTTTACTTTTATCCTCGCCCGAGGACACTTTTTCATCTTTTGTTCAGATACAGTGGGAGGGAGAGAGAGAGGAA